CAGGCTGGCCTTGAGCTCGCAAAGATCTTCCTGCCTCAGCCTCCTGAGTGCTGGCATTACAGGCGTGCGCCACCATGCCCGGCCTCAGTGTCTAATTTTGAAGTCTACTCCCTTCACCTCTCCCTGCCAACACCTAGTGAAATTAACGAGTGTAAGATTTAGTAAAGACCCGCTGTGGGAGGAAGGGAAGTTTATTCAGTAAGTACTAAAGTCTAGTATGTGCCTTTCAAAACGTTGGAAGTACAGCAGTGAGGAAAACAGACAGAGCTTCCTTTGTGGGATGTGTGTTTTAGTGGGGGAGTACAAACAGTAGGCGAAAATAATAAGTAAAATACTAAGTGCAGCAAATGGTGGGAAGTGAGAAAAATAAAGCAAAGTATGATAAGGAGTGCTGGAGGTTAAGATCACTAAGTCAGGGCAGGAGGGGGAAAGGACTGCATGCTTTTGGGGCCTGAGTGATGGCTATAGTAATCATTCTCCCAGCCTTGACCCCGCCATAGCAGTAACGTTTGCTGCGTATTCTTATTATCAGTAATACATACCATTTACTAAATATTTTCTGTGCTAAGCATGCTATAGTAGGATAGTTAACTCTTTCCGACTCTGTAGGATGTTTTTCTTAACAGATGAGGAGGTGTAGAGATGTTAACTGACTTGCCCAAGGTCACAGTAAGTGGTCCAACTCCAATTCAAATGGTGAAGCTTTTAGCTCTTTATTTACTGCATTCTGCTGGAAGCTAGTGGATTTGACTTCTGCAGTGTTAAATATGAGAGATTTGGGGAGAGGAGCGCTTCCTTTGGGGAATGCAGCGTGGAAGTCAGTGGCATTCTAAGGAAAATAGTACCATACTAGAGTATTGGCAGTCTAGACCTCCAGTAGAAGGGCATGAGAGAAAAAGACTACTGCAGGTAGCAACACTTGAAAATGTTTTCCTTCCTTCCCTCCTTCTTTTTTTTTTTTTTAGTTGGGGTCTCATACTATGTTCTGGGTTGGCCTCAAACTCACAGGGGGGTCCTTGGAACTTAGATTTTGTGATTTTTTTTGGAAAGTTTTATTCACATGATAAAGAAATTTAAAGTAGCCAGGCATGATGGGTGGCATATGCCTGTAATTGTAGCTCTGGGGATGCTGAGGCGGGAGGATTGCCATGAGTTTGAGGCCAGCCTTGGCTACATAGTGAGCCCAAGTCTGGCTTGCACCACGTAGCTGGACCTTATCTTAAAAGAGAAGTGGAAGGTAGTAGGGAAATGATTGAGTAGGAGAAATACTACTACTGGGGTGGACTTGACTTTTGACCTCTGGTGAGTGAGGATTCCTGAGCTGGATGATTTGCTTTCTTTCAGTGTGATCCGTCTTATTATGCAGTACCTGAAGGAGAACAGTTTACATCGGGCATTGGCTACCTTACAGGAAGAAACTACTGTGTCTCTGAATACCGTGGACAGTATTGAGAGTTTTGTGGCTGACATTAATAGTGGCCATTGGGATACTGTTCTACAGGCTATACAGTCACTGAAATTGCCAGACAAAACCCTTATCGATCTCTATGAACAGGTAAGAGTGGTGGTAATGCTTTTAACCTGGGGTTGGTTTATTGTTGGCCAGGCCCTGGACTGTCGCCTGACCCCCTAAAGCGTCAGTGAAGCACTGTGAGACTATAATTGTAAAATTCACAGTTGACAGTATACATTTTTTCTTTCTTGGAAAATGCAACATTTTCTCAAATTGAAATTTTTTTTGTAGTGCTAGGGATTGAATTCAGGGAAATTCTAAGTATAAACAGTACCTCAGTTCAGGAACACTTTTGTTTGTGGACAGTTTGATTTCCCAACCAGAAATGTTTAGCAGAATTTAGTTTTTGTTTGCAAACTCTGCATTGGACGATGAATACAACTGTGGCCACCTTTTCCACACAAGCACACACGTGGCCATATTTTCTAGAATAGGGAATGAAGTAAGTTTGTGAACCGAGGTACCCCTGTATTTAACTGATCTGGTGAACTGTGATTCATTTTTGGCTCTAACCACCTGTAGTTAGTGCGGACCCTACAAGTGCTCAGTCCTCTACCAGACTGGTTTTACTTCAGATACTAACTTCACTTGGGGCATGTGCAGGCCACCCACACCTATGACCAGCTGACTACAAACTTGGAGGTTCTCAACCAGCTGTGGTGGTGCATGCCTGTCATTCCAGCACTCAGGAGGCTGAGGCAGGAGGATTTCTGTGAGTTCAAGGCCAGCCTGGGCTTCTTAGGCTGTATCTCAAAATTTAAAAATTGGTGGGGAGAGTTCCAGTGACCCACTCAGGTTTAATAATTTGTTGGAATGACTCACAGTTCAGAAAAGCTCTATGCTTATGATTGCAGTTTAATTATCAAGCATGTAGATCAGCTTCATGAAGAGACATGCAGGGCAAAGTCTGAGGAGGTCTGAATGCAGAGCTGCACTTGGTGTATGTCACCCACCTGACATGTCAGTGTGTTCACTAACCAGAAAGTTCCATGGATGTTTTTATTGGGATTTCATTAGGTAGATGTGATTGATAATTGAATCTTCAAATTTCATATTCACCTCCCTCCTTTCCACTGAAGGTTGGGGTGACTCAGAGCGGCGACCTTCTAACCATATGCTTGGTTTTTCGGGTAACCAGTCCTGTCCTTAGCCACTGCCTTAGCACAAACTCAGGCGTGATCAAAGGGACGTGAAGGTGTATCTGTTGGTTTGCTCAGGCTGGCCTTGAGCTCCGTGTGCAGCCCACGCTGGCCGCGCGCTTACCGCGACCCTCCTGCCGCAGCCTCTCGTGCCGGGGCCGCAGGTGTGCACCGCCACGGCCAGCTTAGAGTGTCTGTTACTGGCAAAATTCCAAGATTTTAGAAGCTCCAAGCCAGGAGTCGAGGACAGACATAAATTATTTATCATAAAACAACATTGAGGAAACAAAATAAACTTTCAAAATAAGAATCAACGGGAAGGGAGTAACCATGGAGGGAGAGAAGGAGGACAGACGGATGGGCAGGGCTCAGGGGAGAGCAGTGGGTTTTCTGGAAATTGCAATATTATTTGAAGTAAAAACAGGGAAATAGGTGTACCGCTTTATGACTGATGTCAGTTCACTAACCCTCCACCCCGCTTTCAGTACCTGGAGAAAGGTTTCTCTGGAGCCCACGGAGATATTCCTGCCTTTAGTTTGCTTTACTATCTGTGTTCTGAAGAAGGCGAGGTTGTTAGTTACCTCAGTCCTTCACCTGGAGTTGCTAGAGCAAAGGCAGAGGGAGCATTTCCTAATACTGGAAATCATTTGGTAGGCCGTGCCTGCTTCAGAAATCTTCCTGAAGTAGGAATGTTACTAAGGCAGTGCACTGAGACATGCATTTTCTTTCCTTCGTCCAGGTGGTTTTGGAGTTGATAGAGCTCCGTGAATTGGGTGCCGCCAGGTCACTTCTGAGACAGACCGACCCCATGATCATGTTAAAACAAACACAGCCCGAGCGGTACATTCATCTGGAGAACCTGCTGGCGAGGTCTTACTTCGATCCTCGTGAGGTATGACTAGTTAGGAAAAGAAACTTGTTAACTGACAATATGCAGTACTTTTTTTTTTGATCATTTCATCGGACATTTTGTGAATTTGCTTTAATTTTTGAGAAGGATGCTTTTCTGTTTACCTATGTTGGCTAAAATTTCGTATGTTAGAGAAAATAGTCCTGTTCAGTTCTCTGAGTCCTTCCAGTCTTCTCTCCTGTATACAGTCCTGATGTTGGGGTTGTGTGTTGGTTAACGGCCCAAGGCCCTGGGTTGAGCCCTACCGCCACCACTGCACACACAAAGAAAGGAAAAGGTACCAAAAGAAAGAAGTGAACAATCTTATTCTGATAGCATTTCCCCATTAGCCCGAGTACTTCCTTGCCCACAGTAGCCGGACTGCTGCTGTGCTCGCCGAGGGTGTGTGTCAGCAGCAGCTTTTGCAGCCATTTCCATCCGCGGAAACCCGTGCCTTTGAGCGACGGTGCACACTGGAGCACGGTAGTGGCGGCTTCATCCCTCTGAAGCCTTGTGTTGTGTGTGCGTGTGTGTTTCTTCCCCATCTAACCTTTCGCTTCTCAGAGTGAAAGGAGGAAGAATTTAATAGGCGTCGGGTAATGCAAAGGTGATGTCAATGTTATAGACTGAGAATGAAAGGAAGGAGTTTAGGTACTAGGACAGGATTTATGAATTTATGAATGTTAGCGGCAATGACGTACTTTGGGGTGGGGTGTCATTTGATTGAAAGACATTTTTATTTATTATTTATTTTTTGTTTTTGTTTTTGTTTTTTGAGATAGGGTCTTGCCATGCAGTTCAGGCTGGCCTTGAGCTCACTTTGTAGTCCAGGCTGGTCTTGAACTCGCAGTGATCCTCCTGCCTCAGCCTCCCGAATGCTGGGATGACAGGCATGTGCCACCACGCCCGGCTTGAAAGACATTTTTAAATAAGAGACTCTTTTGCTCCTGTAAATTTTTTCAAAAACTAGAAAAGTATTGCTGGCTTTGGTGGTGTTTACTTGGTCTCTTTTCACAAAAACTATAGAGTGGCTGACATCATTTCCCTCATACTTTCGAGATGTAAGTGAGTAGAACTCGGAAGCCATTTTTAAAAACTAAATTGATTTTTAAAAACTAAATCTATTTAACTGGGTAGTTTCGTGTTTTTCTCCTGGGAATGTTTTGCTTGTTTATTTTAACTGGATACACATATCTTGTCGTTGTGTCTTGGCAGTAATGTTACGCCTCTCCTTTTTCAGGCATACCCAGATGGAAGTAGCAAAGAGAAAAGGAGAGCAGCGATTGCCCAGGCCTTGGCTGGGGAAGTCAGTGTGGTGCCTCCGTCTCGCCTCATGGCGTTGCTGGGACAGGTAATTAAATGCTTGTGGGCCTGAAATCACCCCGAACTCTCAGTACTGTCTTCTGCATGTGTATAATCTTTCTGTCCCAGCTAAAGAAATCAGGCAGTGTAAAAACTGGGGACTGCCTGTTGAGCTGCTTGTCCCAGCATCTGTGGCCGTGCCACCCTTCCTCTTCTCCGGGAGAGGCAGTGTTAGAGTGGTGGTTAGGAACGGAAGCTCTGGCTGGGTGTGATGGTGCATGGCTGTAATCCCAGCTCTCTGGAGGTGAGCTCGGCATCAGCCTGAGCTACGTAGTGATTTCAAGGCCCCCTGAACTACCGAGCTCGATGATCGCAGACAGGAGAGACAGGTGGGGCACAGGGGCCAGGGGATATCTCTGTGGAGGGCCAGGGGGCCTCGTGAAGTGGAGCCCCGGACTGACTGAGACTCGGATTTATGGAGGAGCAGCAGAGCCATAGTGGTGCTCTAAAGCAGGTGTTTGCTTCGCCGAGCAGGCGAGGCGTGGGGGCAGTTCGGCTGAGTTACGTTTATCTGGCTGTCCCCTGGGAGCTCGCTTGTTTTCCCTGCAAGGCCCGTCTGCTTGGCTTGGCAGAGCCGTCTCATCTTCAAGCTGTCCCGGCTCCGTGGGCTTAGCAGCTCCCCCCGCCCAGCCTGAGTGCACGCTGACTGTTCGGGCGTCACAGAGAGCTCCCCATCTCTCCCGTTCCGTTTCCTTAGCGGTTGTTTAGCCAGATGGTGGTGTTTTTGGCTTGCCCATGCAAAGTGTAAGTGCAGTTCAGTTGGATTTTACAGTCTAGACAAAGGAGAAGGAGAGCAGTTAATGACAAGGCAGATGGACAGCTGACCATGGCAAACATGGCCAGCAAGAGGGTTTCGGGCATCTTCTGTTGTCTCGTGTGTTGGAGTACTTCCTGTGCTCACTGTGTCATTCATTTTAGGCCCCCCCGGGTCATCGTGGGAGCTTAAGTTGTCCCTGGCAACAGGCAGGGAGGTGGGTCTCTCTTCTCTTCCAAGTAGAGGTTCTCAATCTGGGGAATCAGGTTCTGTCTCCCAGAGGCCACTGTAATGCTTTACCAACCGTGCTGTAACCAGGCTGGTCCTTGCTGTAACGGTACACAAGTAAACCCCAACCCCACATTACTGGAGAACAGGTCCCTCTCAAAGCCTTAATGTCTTTCTAGAACTAGTGAGTGTTCTGTGTGTGTGGGGTTAGAAACCCAGTGCTGTTTCCTTCACTGAATTTTCCACTGTCTGTGGGCCTTAATTTGTGCTTTAGACCCTTCCTTGATCCTGGGCGTCCGCTTCCCTCCTCCTCGTCTTCCTCACGTTGCTGTATTCTAGCATCTGGATGGCCACCCTTAGAGAGGCTCTTTCTCTGCTGCTTACAGCTCTGCCATCTTGGTGCTCAATATCTGAAGCAGTGTTAAATTCCCCGTGAGGAATGGGAGTCTGAATAACCTGGGAGTCGTAGTTAGATAATTGATTAACTTTCTTTCTACCCATGATGATAAAAACTTAGGATAGCTTCTGATGTTTTTATGGCCTGTATGGCTCAAAAAAAGCCAATTGAAAATTTTTAATGTAGGAATTAATTGTCTAATAAGTCCAGTAGGTAAGCAGGGAGTGGAAAAAGAAACAGTTGCATAGGAAATTGTGGATCTATATGACCCAGTTGACACTGTTGAATAGCTTATTCCACTAGCTATAAGACGTGAGGGGAGGACACATCAGGATCACCCGAAAGGGAACTAAGGAGGTGTGTGCTTTGGTGCATAGGGATCTCTAGGCTGAGACAGAGCAAGTTAATATCACCTAGTAGTTTTTGAAAATCATTTAAAGTAGTCAGTGGTCTCTCAGAGTAGAAGACTTTTGGAGCTTGTCAGAACCCAATTAATTAATGCAGGGGGAGGCTTGTTTGGTGATTTATCAGGTGTTCTCATCAGCGGGAAACTTTGGACTTGTTTTAGCAGTTGATGATGTAGCTTTAAAAGCTCTAGGGGGTCTGTAGTATTCAACAAGATATCATCTGTGTAATGAAAAATAATTGCTTGAGGCCACTGTTGATTGGTGTTAGTGCCTGAGCCACAAAAGTTTGACATATAGTAGGACTATTAAGCATACCCCGGCGCAGCACTTTCTAGTAAAATCCCTAGTCGTGAGCTGAGTTGTTGATGGAAGGGTGAAAGCAGATGTTTCACAATCTTAAGGGCCAAAAAAACCGTAAAGAAATAGTCTTTTGGATCAGTCACTATCAATGGCCAGTGCTGGTGAATCATACATGGGGAAGGGAGCCCAGGCTGTACCTCCCCTGTAGGAAGAATGGCTTCATTTGTCTCATGGAGGTCACGCAGTAATCTCTATTTCCCTGACTTTTTCAGTGTGACAAAAGTAGGAGAATTCCAGGACCCTGGGAAGATTTTGTATGTCCCTGTTGTAATTGCTCCTGTACTGAGTTGAGCTTAACTCCTCTTTTAGTGGCCACTGCCCAACCCAGACCGGCTCCTGCAAGGGGAGTAATTAGCAGTGGCACTTAAGAAAAATGTGGACTATCTAATGAAAAACTCCACCGTGGTAATAGCCCTGCTCCAAAGATCTATGGGTATATCGGTGATATATGGCTGGATGAGTGCTGTTTTTCCCCTTGGGCCAGTCACAGAAAGAATACCTTTGCTTTGGAGCACAGAAGACTGGTAGAATGCCTACCAACCCAGAGGAGGTTCTTTGGCCAGGCCAAATTTGGGGCATTGACTTTGCAGTAATGGTAACATCTGCTTCGGTGTCTAGCATTCATGGTTATCACTCGTCCATTCACTTTTTACCTTCTGAAATGTAAGTAACATTTCTTGTCTGCTGTTGTGACTTTATCTTTTTATTTTTATTTATTTATTTATTTTTTATCTTTTTGAGACAGGGTCTCTCTATTTAGTTCAGGCTGGCTTTGAGCTCACTTTGTAGCCCAGGCTGGTCTTGAACTCGCAATGATCCTCCTGCCTCAGCCTCCCGAGTGCTGGGATTACAGACTTGCACCACCACGCCCGGCTTCTTTGTCTTTTTAGATATGTGCCGTTTTTATTCTTCTATTACCACTTTAGGGAGAAAGGAAAAATGAACTCAGGTGTTCTTCCACATTTAATCGGTTAAATGTGAAGGGAGAGGCATTGGTTCTCAGCTGGCTTTGAGGTCTCTGGCTTGTGACTTAGTGAAGCACATTTCATTGGGCATTGGTGGTAGAGACTGGGGATTGTACCATGTTAAGTAACTGTAACACACCCATTAGACAACGTATTTTATAACTACTATGAGATAATTATGTTAGAGTGTGATCTGATGATAGCTGAAAAAAAGAACCTAAAATTTTGCATGTAGTACGACTACTAATAGAGTTAAACACGTTATGTAAGAGGAGAAAAGATGAATGTAGAGTATAAAAAACAGTGGCCATGTTTGAGTATTAGAACTATGGAAACTTGTGTTTTCTAAATTTTGTTGATGGTAAAAGACCCTTACCTGTAAGGGAGTTAGGCATGGGGGATAGGTAGCTCAGAGTCCCCTCATACTTGGAGATCAGCCTGCATTTTGGACACAGCCTATATTCCTTACGTTGTGTTTGCACAGGCAGAGATGGCTGGCGTCTGACAGGCTCACTGCTTCCTCTGAACCTTATCCTTTTAGGCTTGGTTTTGTCTGAACGGTCATGTGCAGATGTTAACAGCACCTGAGCAGGTTGTTACACTTTCTTTTTCCATAGGCGCTGAAATGGCAACAGCACCAGGGGTTGCTTCCCCCCGGTATGACCATAGATTTGTTCCGAGGCAAAGCTGCTGTCAAAGATGTGGAAGAAGAAAAGTTTCCTACGCAGCTGAGCAGGCATATTAAGGTAAGCTCTTTAGACACTCCGTTGGTAATCCTTTGTGGAGGGCTCATCATGGGCTCGGGGTGGCCCTGCAGCAGGAGTTTGGGTGCTTGAGAGCGGAACTCCTTCCCTGGCTCTGAGGCTCAGGGTTGCTGCTGGCATCCGTCGGGGTCCCGTTGCGGCCCAGCAGCACAGCTCAGATGTGTGACCAAGTGGACATACGTTTGACATCTGGCCTGTCATTGGCCATCCTTTTCCTCTCAAGGCGGGTACATTTGGAGGAGTGTTTAACTCTGGTTAAACCTGGACTAACTGTAAGCTTTCTGCATACTTGTCCTATTCAGCCTTTGGTTTTTGCCTGCTGTATTTTAGTTAAAAGGCCAGGCATGGGTTGTAAAGTAGGCTTATGTGATACTTAAGGCAGATTATTCTGTCATTTTGTGACTGATTCCTTTTTTGGTGTGTGGGGGTGCTGAACCTTGGGCCTCTCCTATACGAGGCAAACCATTCTACCTTTGAACCACATCCCCAGCCCTTATTTTGTAATTTTATTTTGAGACTTTTCTAGGAAAAACAACAGCCAAAAGAACAGCTGCAGTTCCCAGAATTACAAGTATATTTGTTTGTTTTTGCAGCATGTCTTTGGATTTGTGTTTGAATTCATTCACAGATTTTTAAATATTTCATATTTTCCTACTTTTTTACTTTAGCATTTTATTTGATTTCTTTGAGACATGGTCTCATTATGTAGTTGAGGCTGGCCTTAAACCCACAGCAATCCGCTTGCCTCAGCCTCGGGAGTGCTGGGATTATAGGCGTGCAGTAGCGTGCCCCAGCTAGTGCAGCATTTTAGATTTGTCTTTTGTGGATTATATATTCTAACTTGCATGTAATGATATTTTTAAGCATTATCCTAATTGGCCTGCCTGAAGCCTTCAGCTGAGTAGAAATCCATTGTAATTGTGCTACGAGGCTAAGCTTTTACAGTACAAACACTTTGTGGTTTTGGCATTGGAAATGAAATCTGCATTAGAGTGTTTTCTGCGTTCTTCCATCTCTAATTTTCTATGGTTTTCGTATTTTATTGGGAACATCGTCAGTGGAAAATGATCTGTTGGCTTTCGTTAGTCCTTGATTTGGTCAGTCACATGGTATCACTTGGTTAAGTGAAGGTCATGAGACAGTGATGGAAAGTTTGTTTACAAGGTAGTGGCGGAAGGTAAACATTTGCATTGAAAATTTGACCCCTTTGTGCACAGCAGCATATAGGCCATACTGAGTGTGACAGTCATGCTAGTAGTTGTAGCTGACTCTAGCAAGACTCCAGTCTGAGGAAGACATAAAACTGGTCAGAGAAAACGTCCCAGCTCCCGGTGTCCAGATGTGGAGACACTCCTCCAGTACATAGGCTAGCTATGACGTTATGTAAGAGCAGGATTTCTCAGAAAATTACAGTAGCAATTGTTTTAAGGACACTGGATAAAAATGCTTTTGTTTCATTTCTTTGAAACAGTTTGGTCAGAAATCGCATGTGGAGTGTGCCCGCTTTTCTCCAGATGGTCAGTATCTGGTCACTGGGTCTGTCGATGGATTCATCGAAGTGTGGAACTTTACTACTGGAAAAATCAGGAAGGTAATATATTTTACTTTACTTTATTTTTTTGGTACTGAGAATTGAACTCAGGACCTTGCGCTTGCCAGGCAGGCGCTTATGCCACTGAGCTATATCCCCGGTCCAGGAAGGTAATGTATTTTAAATATATTAGCTTTCCCAGAGGAAGAATTTGCGACTTTGAATTTCTTTTTTTTTTGTTTGTTTTTTTTT